TTCTCTCTCTCTCTCTCTCTCTCTATATATATATATATATATATATGTATGTATGTATATATATATATATATGTATGTATGTATATATATATATATATGTAGGAAGACAAAAAGAATCATTGATTAAAATGGAACTGGAGAATGCTTTCTTTAATTAGAAGAAGTCAAATTGAATAGACCAATGTATAAAGAACTTTTTTCTTTTTAATTAGAGTAAAATATTGAAAAAAATATTTGATGTAAATTAGCACATCAAATCAGACTAATGTTTCACATCGAAATAACAAAAAAAAAAGGAAAAGGGTGTGTTTTCTTTTTCTTCTTTTACGAGCTGTCATTGACCAAATTACCCTCACCAAGTTTCATACTTTTAGGTGAGATTTCGCGATGACTGAAAGGGCAATGTAGTCATTTCATGATTACGTCAGTCTTACGACGACTCCTTCTGGCCTGTGAGATAAAACCTTTGTATTTTTCTGTTATGACGAAACCATCCTCGGGCCATAAGATCCAATCGCGCCCGTCCATCTTCCGTGATCAGACATCCCCGCGCATCACAAAGCGTAGTTATATGCAGCTTCGAGAGGGCATAAATGGTGATTCGGATACGCATTGGCCACGGACTAGTGGACCTACTTGCTTCCGAAACCGCAGACAACAGGGGCAAAATGACAAATTTGCCACTACCGTGGAAATGACGCTAACCCAACCACATATCTAATACCACAGTGGAAGAAAGGGCATTAACTTCCACCAGAAATCGACATGATCAAAGGGGAAAAGCTGTGGCAGCGCAAGGCAACGACATGCGTGTGTGGAGGAAACTGCGGCATTGACATCGCATGGCCTCAGCTGCTGCCGTAGGGGGAAGGCAATCCCGTTCATTTGCCAAGAGAGAGACGAAGGGGGGGAAAGGGAGAGATGTCATGTCCCACTTGCAATGTGGAGATACGGGAAGAACAAGTGCGCTCGAGGTGTGCTATCTACAGCCAACATGCGGCCGTGTAAAACACGAGTGTAGCTACTGATGTTTTCTTCTCATTAGACAATTCACAACTTGTTATTATTATTATTTCTGGTCAAGGGGGTTTGCGTGCAGGGATCGAAGAGGGGCCGAGGAGGAAGAAGAACAGAGGACGTCAACGAGGTACAAATCCGTTTTTATGCGTTCTCTTGCTTGCCTTGCCCTTGCTTTGTTTATTTCAATTGATAGAGCCGGAGAAGCTCATACATTGAGGGGAGAATTGGGTAGAGCATTGCACATGGTGGGACGAGGGGCAGCAAGTAACATAGGGCATGGGGTCATAGGGCTTCACAGATAAGCATTTCTGCTTCAGAATTATCTGTTTGTTCTTGTTTCTTGTACTTAACAACAAACAAGTACCTAATGGGTCCTTTTTTTTTCCCACTGAAGCAAGCAAGTGAAATCAACCCTATTGGGCATTTCTTGTGTTCCACGGAGTCAAAATTTGGACCTAGCATCTGCTGTCCCATAAGGAATTTAGGGCTAGCTTACCTACCTACATGGCTACATGAACATATGAATAGGTTGGCTTGTTTCATCATCTTACATAGAGAAGCATCACAATTTTCGATAGGGATCGAAGCATGTCCAAGTCTTAAAGTGGAACATCTGCTGGGACTTGAGTACAACTTGATTACAGAGGAGACATGCTTAATGCATAGATAGATATCAGGATCAGGTGTCATGATAAGTTAAGGTCCTACCCCTCTGCAACCTCACAATTCACCATCCACAAGGCATCTACAGTTGAATGAGTCAGCAAGCAGCAAGCATGTAGTTGAATCAACCAAAGTGATGTGGCCATTAGTTGAATCAGCCAAGCAATCTGAGATAGCAGATCTGCCATTGTCGGAAAAGGGTGATACTCTCGTGATCAATTGGTGACTGTTATGCTACCTAAAGTCTTAGTCATTTTATGGTTCTCAGTCTCTGCTTCAATGGCTCTCACTTTCTTGATTACTCCTTTGGGGAAGCATCTAACGTCACAGTCCCACTAGTGGGTATCAGAGAAGAATTGGAAGAGTGGAATTGTGATTTCTGTGTGTTCATGTGTTTGTGATGTTGGATGTCGGAGTTATCCTTGAGTCTCTTCCTTGGAAGGAACACATATCAAAATGCCTTTCTTTGCGATAAAAGACAAACATAAAATTGGAATTATAAGGGAAGACAGAATTCATGATGGTGACTGGCATTGCAGATTATGCGACATGTTTCTCATGTCTCTCCTCCTCCCAAGTTTGACTAACTGCTTCCACAAATGACATCATTCCCCTATACTTTTGTGATAATTAGCCTTGGTTGCATGACTTTTAGGAGGATAAGTTTCATTGAACAAGGTGAGAAATAGTTTTAGGAATGCATGAATCTTCAGAAAAATATGAAACTTGATTAAAATTTACTGTAGTGCTTCTCGGTTTTCTTTAGTGTTCCGTGTTGGGCAACACTAGCACATGTCTTGGCTCATAAAGAAAAGGAACTCTAAGAGAATCATGATTCTATATTTGAAATAACTTTAATTGGAAACAGAGATGGATTTTTGGGATAACTATAGTGTGCATTTCTGTGTTACCCATCAAAGTGTGTTGATATTTTTTTCTTGATCTTTGATTGATTTCATAACAAAAATCAAGGATTGGTAGCGCCACAGATCAGAACTAAGATTTTTCAGTGACAAGTAACACTAACATTATTCGATTTCTTGGTTTGCCTGTGAGCCTAAGTTTTTTTTTTTGTATTGGAATTTAAATCATGCACTGTTAGTCTAAAAAATCTAAATAAAAATCCAAACCTTCTTTATCTTTATACAGCTGAAAGTGAACAGCAGCCAGTTAGGTATTCAAAACTCTTTTTGACATGAATGATAGACTTGCCAAAACAAATAAGAGGAATTACAAATATCTTGAATTGATTGAACTTTGATGACTAGATTGTACAATATTTTGGTAAAATACAGAAAAAGTAATTGAGAAAAAAAACAACATTCTTTATTTGTAAACGGCAGCCGAATCTGTGAACAGTTTTTTTTTTTTTTTTAAATTAAGCAGGCTACATATTAGGACAAACTGTTTCGAACAATTTATACTTAAGAATTTTTTTTTTCCCTTCCACATCTATTAGAATTTGCAGTATTGCATTAGGAGCCTTTATCACCTTGCACTCAAAAATTGTGAATTGGCATTATCACAAAATTTCATGGCCATTGAAATAATATTGTTCATTTAACCTGCCTCAGCTAATTTTTTTGCTGCTATGTTTGAGCTATTATGCCTGTCACAAAATGAGAAGTGACTCAGTAATCTTAATTATCATGATGTTTCATTCTACATATGTGTACTTTGTCATTGCAAGCTCTCTCCTAAGTCACTTTCATCTTCTTTTGCCCAATCTTGCAAAGTAATTTCCCTTAAAACCATTGACCAAATGTGGATCCAACCTTCAAAGAGACTGGGGAGATGACATAGTTTACAGCAAAGGTAAAGGAGATATCTCAAGTCTTCCCACTAAGAACTTGGTGTGCAAAAGCTTCTTGTGCTTGCTTGTTTGACAAAACAAGGCATTTCTTATAACTAAATGAAGCTCACAATGCAACTTGGGTCAATGCTTCTGGATTTACTACCACCCTGTCCCCATGATCTAAGCAGCACATGCATACAAGCATAAAGGTTCCTTGCTCAGGAGGATGAGCAACAGTTGTGAGCTATAATGTGATGGATCTCATCAACCTGTCAATTTCTCTTAGGGAAAGATAATAACAGTTGATGAATTATTCTTTGCAGAAGAAAACAATCTGCTATTTGTGTGGCTCTTGCAGTGACAGAACTTGGGCCATCAATCCATGTCAAATAATAACTTGTTTGGATATGAGTGACTTGACCAAGATAAATAACAGATAGAACAACAAAAGCTTCAATCAGTGGGTTTGGACCAGAAACTTGGAAGGTCACAAGAACTATGAACTGAATTTAAGGGCAAATTCTACTTGACCCAAATGTGCACAAGAAATTTTGATGGACTAATTACATATTAATTATGTCATCTTTAGTTTTTCGATTTTTATATTTTAAAAAATTATATTAACATCCTTATAGTTATAAATATAAAATATTTATATTTATTTATCTTAATAATATTAGTTTTATTAATAAAAATAAAAGAATAAAAAGATAAATTTAATGTTCCAATATTACGAATCCAACATCGATCTCGTTGTAGCTGTCTCCCTCAACCTCGTCTCCCCACTACCACCCAGCACGTCACCTCCTCTCCCTGCTGTTGCCCAGTGCACCGCCTCTTCTCTCCCTCGTGGTTAGTCGTCGCCGGTTGTTAAGGTGGTCTTAAGGTCTCAAAGTTTAGTCCGGCCCGGCCCGGTTCTTCGAGGCCTTCAAAAAAGCCTCATCGACCGGTCTCCTCCATGCTTTCTTCGTCGCCAAGCTCTCCATGGCCCGATGTCCTCGGAGGCCGTGACCCTCCAAGCGGTCACGCCACCGCCCGTTCCCGGACGACCTCCGCCTCCCCCGGCTGCTCGTCAAGGTTGTCTTGCTCCGCATCAACTGCTTTACTCAGTGTCTTGAGCTTTATTCTGTTTAGGGTTCTCGTGGACAAGGAAAGCTGCTCGATCACCACCCGAAAGAATCCTACGAAGTCGGATGGATCAATAGAGGTATGGTTACTCCACGAAGTCGATGGGGGAATCGAGCGGCCTCGTTGAAGGAGCGGAGCGAGTTCTCCTTCACCTCCCTCAGCCGTGGGTCCGTCTAAGCCAGCGCGTTCATCCCCTTCCCACGGTGCCCGATCACCACCAGACTCTCCGCCTTATTCTCCCACTCCGCCCCCATTCATCCCATTGACGTTCCAACTTCCAAGTGACAGGGCGAGTGAGGGAGACGAGTGGGATCAACATTTGTGGAGGCGGAAGGACGCGGAGGAGGAGAGGGCGACGGCGGCGGCTCCGGTGGCTGGTCCAGCGTAACGTCGTCGATATGCACGGCCTTGAGCGCCATGGAATCTGATGTAAGGAGGGAAAGGTCGTCCCAGGCGATGGCATTTAAAAGACGAGGAGAGAACGGTGGCCGAGCATTTGCTGCGGTGTTCGGTATTCATGAGATCATGTGCGCGTCAAACTAACAAACAAAATACGATATCTGTTATCATCTTAAATACTTAATTTCACTTATTAATTATTTTTTTGCAATAAGTTTTAATTTCAGACGGGGATTCCAATCACAAATCAAGAACAAAAGAACGGTGGAGGCTGTGGTATCCAATATGAACACCCCAAGACATTATTACATCGGCTAATCCACCCTTCATGTGGCGCCACCATATCAAATCCTGTCCGTCCCAGCACAGATCCCATCATCCCAGCCGTCCCTTCACCTACTATTGTGCCTGAGCCCCTTACGCCCCTTACCCTTGTGGCCTTCTCGCTCGGTGGCAAACAAGCATCCCGCACCGAGCGTGACCAAGAGACATGGCGGAGGCCAACAACAACAGCAACAACAATGCCAATTCCATAGCGCAGCAGCAGCAACAGCAGCAGCATCATCAACAACATCAGCAACAGCTCCTTTTGCAGCAGCACCAGCAACAGCTCTTCCTGATGCAGCAGCAGCAACTCCAGCTCCAACAACAGCAACAACTGCAACGGCAACAACAGCAGCAGCAGCAACAGCAGCAGCAGCAATCGCAGCCATCTGCCCACCACCAATCGCCTTATAATCTCCTGCAGCAGCAGCAGGCCATGTCCCGCTTCCCCTCCAACATCGACGCCCACCTCCGCGCCCCCGGCCTCCGATCCCTCCAGTTCCAGGCCCCTACTCCTCCGCCGGCGCAGCCCTCCTCCTCACAGCCGCCTACCTCCTCCAACCTCCACCACCATGCTTCGCAGTCCCAGCCGGCGAGGCCAGCGGCGACAGGGGTCGGGGTCGGCGTCGGGAGGCCCGGGAACCCCTTGGAGATTGAGATGGCGCAGAAGGACGCCTTGATGGTCTGCAACCCCGACTTCAAACGCCCCTTCGCCTCCGTTGAGGATGCCGTGCTCAGGTATGCCCCCTTTCTAGGGTTTCGTTTCTTTTCCTTCTTCTGTTGGATCTTAGATCTGTAGCTCCCTTGCGATCTTAGGGTTTCGTTGCCTGTTCGCCTTTTTCTTCTAAAAGGAGGATTTTGGAGTTTGATGTTGGTAGAGGAAATAATTACGGTTTATAGCTAGGTTTTAAAAGGGTTGGGGAAATTAGGATCTACAGATCGATATAACGGAGGAATAGGTGGGGCATCTGCAGAGAGTGTTGGTCGCTCTACTGGAACTCAACATCTGTCTCCTGAATTTTGCTTAATTAGCAGCAATATTTGCATCTTGTTTACTGAGAGGTAGCCAGATCGGGAGGTAACAATCAAGCCAGACTGCAAGAAGTAGGCATTTCTCTAAATTCCAGGAAAGCAGCTATTTTTCTTGTTCTAACCAACGATGACAATCTTTTGTACCACAAGGAAGCTAGTGGCATCTTTATGGCCAATTTAGTAAGAAATTATGGATTAGACACAGCCGGCCAAGCTAGGGTGATAAACTGATCCAGATTATAGGGAATCCTTTATGTTCTAGTCAAGCTACTTTTGTCGTAGAAATCATGTCCTTTCTTGTTGGTTATGATGTAAATCTTGGGGTTTGGGTTCAGATTGTTTATCCAACATCCTCAGTGTTGCCTAGGAAATTAATAGATTGCTCAAACACCATGGTATTTTTTTTAGATAATACGAGTGCCTGGCATGGATACTACATTAAGATGATCTTTCATGCAAAACATCTCTTGTTATGATGTAAATTTTGGGGTTTGGGTTCAGCTTGTTTATCCAACATCCTCAGCGTTGCCTAGGAAATTAATAGATTGCTCGAACACCATGGTATTTTTTTTAGATAATATGAGTGTCGGGCATGGTTACTACATTAAGATGATCTTTCATGCAAAACATCTCTTGACAGTGAGCTTCATCATGTTAATCTTCTTTAACCTTTATAGTTATCTTTGACATTAAAGAATACCTTCAGGGTTTATCTTGCTGCTTCATTTCTGAAATTTAATCTTTCTGGTATCTTCTTTGAACAAGTATCTCCATAGTACCACTGTCAAGTGTTGAGTGTTAAGTTCCACATTTGTCAACTTTGTGCAAGATTAAATTTAGTGTCTGTATACAAATTGCTTATTAATTGAGACAATACGATAGGGAGGTTTGATTGGATGATGAGGAATTACGGGATTCACTTGCTTTCTTACTTTTTGTCGTTAGAACAAAAAGAAGGAAAAAACTTTCTTACTTTCATTATTGGAACCGTAACAAATGAAATATTGGTTAAGAAAGCAAATAACAATTTTTTTTTGGTAAAGCAAGCAGGCTGCATTATAATATCTAAATGTTTGGTTGTTTGGTTAAGTTTTTATAGTCTACATGTTTGATCAAAAGCAATCTAGTGTGCCTCTTCCATTCCCTATCTCTTTTTTTCTTGTTGCTTAACTCCTTTATCACATGTTTGTTGAGAGTTTGACATTATCCAAAAATATGGAGAGACCATGGCTAAGTTATTTGCATGGATAACTGGCCACCAAAATGACTTCTACTGTCAGTGTTCTGTAGTATTCCAATAATTACTTCTTCAGTTACTGAAAATGATTATGTACTAACACAATTTTAAGTGTTTGAGATTAAGTAGGTATGTGAACCCAAGGTATTCTGTAGGCATTTAGTTGGGCATCTAGATCTAGGTTGTTCTCCCCAGACTATACTGCATGTTAACAACTAGAAATTTTGCTTTGTAAATGAGTGCAAATGGTTCACATATATACCTTCACCTCAAGCTATGTATATTTCGGAAAAAAAAAGGGTCTTTCTCATTAAGTCCAATGATGATGCCATTCTTCACTGAGATATATACATGATTTCATGAGAAGAAACCTTTGTAAGAGACAAAGGGCACAAGGTTTAATATGTAATTGGTCCATAGTTTAAACTGCTAAGTAGAAATATTTGGGATATTGGAAGATATTAAGGCAAGATTAGATGTTGTTTCAGTAATTTAATACGGCTGATCCATTTCTTGCAGCTTTCTCCAGCATCACTATCTGGGAAGCTTTACACTTTTGTTGTGTACTTAAGGATTACTTGGTGTTTATAATACTGTTGGAAGTATTTATACTTGCATGTGGATTATATTGTTTTAACTTTATTAGTTTTTCATTTTTATAATACTTGTCATATACTATTTTTATATAGTGACTTGTAGCATTCTGTTGAGGAAACCACAAGACTAGATAAATTGGAATTCTCATTATGTAAAAGGTGTTTTTATTGATCTTTACCATGATCAAGTCTTTGACAGATCAGATTACTGTCTTGCACTGAAGTCTTCTGTATGACTGGTTTATGTTGCTCTAAGACCTGAGATTGAGAAAACAGTAAATTAATAACTTTGCATAGCTTCTAAGGTGTTCATTGCACTTGCATTCTACTTACATCTGTCACTTCTTCTATTTTTTTTTCTTTTTTGAGAATAGTTTTTGCTGCTGAGCTTTTTATTGTTGTGGACCATTTCATCGACTACTAGCATATGGCTTATTATGTGGAAACTGCATGACTTTGGACCGATTGATTTTGCAGTCCAGAAATAGGACTCATTTGATCGTTTGCTTCTGACTTTTTAGGCTGCTGCCATACCATGTGGTATCTGATTATGAAGCTGAAGAAGATGACAGGATCCTTGATAGTGATACCACTGGTCATATATTTTCACGGATCCAGCAATGGGACCACAACGTTCTCACAAAGATTGCAGAGTTTACCACTACATTTGAGAAACAAGTCCTTGCTTTCAACATAATGTCAAGAAAGAGAGCACAAGGAGAATTCAGGTCAGAGGAGAGGCTTATGATGGAGCAGTTTTTAATGCAAGAAGAGAAGCAAGCTCTGTTAGGAATAAGAGCAGAAATCGAATCCAGAGAGAAGGCTGGTAGGGAAGCAGCAGAGGCCAAGATGCGGATGGCAATGGTTCAGGCTGAACATGCTAGAGCAGATGCCCAGGCCCATGCAGAAATGTATGTTCGTGCCCCAGTGAGGGCTGGCGCTGCTGGTTCCCTTGGTGACGAGGTTTCTGGCCATGATATGGGGCAAGAACAGGCAGGTAACATGGACGAAATTCATGGGTGGGGAAATGCTCAAAGAGAGGATGAAGAGCCATCAGAGGATTTTTTGAATGATGAGAATGAACCTGAGAATGGAGACACCGGAGAACAAGGTGAATGGCGAGAAGCTGGGGAGCTGGACTTGAACACTAGGTGATGATAGGATAAAATCCTGGCTACTTTCCAGTTTGCATTTAGTAGCTTATGCACAGAGGGTTACAAAGTCGCTAACTTGACATGATCAGATCTGTTTGTTTATGGAGTTCTTAGACTACGTTTGTGAAAAGAAAGATTACCTCTTCCCAAGCAAGAGTGTGGCTCGACTGCTGGATCTGATTCGATTTCATTTCGAGCAGCTGTTTTTATCTTGGAGATAGTTTTCCGGCAGCACGACCAGAAAGTTAACAAGGTCATACCTTTTAACTGCTTTTGTGCTATGATCAAACGCTGTGCTGCTGAAACTGAACTCATTTTACTTTCTAGATATTACTGGTAGGAAATAGTTGAAACGATATCAGTGAAAAATTGTCATCGGTGTAGACGGACCGATTGCTGATTACTTATCTAAGTTATATGTTTATTCTCGGCACCCAACTTGGGGATTTCTAGTTGCTCTGTGTCTGTACATTATGAAGTATTAGTTCTACGGAGAACTTAGTGTTTCTTTCATATCTCGTACTTGAAGCAGAAATAGAAGTCTTCATCAACACAACGCAGCGCATGTCCGCAAGCGTTCAAGCTTCGGCCGGCCTTTTGAGTTCAGAAGGACCTCATTGACGAGAGCTTTCTTCCGCGCAGAGCCTTTCAATGTATATTTCATGCTTTTCTTGGTGGGTGTGAATGTCATATTCTGTTTCTACCTTTTTGTATTATTATTATTTTATCATAGTTATGAAACCCAAATCAAACTGTCTTATCGGATCGAAGAAAAATCATCTTTTCATTATATTATAAAATTAATTTTATCAAATATTATATAATTATAATTGTTTTAATATTGAATATATCAGTTTACTAATTGATCTAACAGATTCTTGATTCCGTTACGATAAATCTCTTTTGTGTTGGGTTGGGCTTCTTTTAATGGGCCATCACTCGAGTTTCATTTCATGGGTGGGGATTAGGTCTTCCGTTATGCCCTCATAGTTTGCCGAGGGTTTTGTGTCGATGTATATAAAATGCAAGGAAACCCTTTATAGCGAAGAGGACGTGCTCATTCATCTCCATCGGCTTCACTCTGTCTCTGTTAATGGCGGCTTCCCTCCCATTCCTCGTAAGCGCTCTCTCCCACACCCCAGTTCTTCTTCCTCCTTCGTGTGTTACTAAGTGTTCTCTTTTTCTTTTATCTTCTACTTCGCAGGCGAGCGTCCGTCCGGCGATCGTCGCTGGGTCGAGGTCCTTAGGACGGACGCCTCTGTTGAGCCCGTACCGAGCCTTTCTCGATTCCCGGAAATTCTCGTCCGCCGCCGCTCTCTCCTGCCCCGCTGGCTTGTTCCCCTCTCCCTCCTCGCGGTCCACCGCCCGCTTCTCCACCTCCCCTCGTGCCGAACTGAAGGTCCGCCAATCGATATCAGGGCTTTTGTTCTTCTTTCTCTTTGTTCCAGCTGGAATTGGGCTTTTTCTTCGAGCTTCCTGCAACCTTGCATTGCAGTCGATGCGCCCCAATTTGGTTCCATGCTATAATCACAAGTCACGGTTGAGTTTAATTGGACTGGGATTGAGGTCATAGGGGTATTGGCTTATATTGCACTAAACGGAATGGGTTCTTGATTGGAATTATTTTGATTTCATGACGGCGGTGTTTCGGCATCGTTGGATTTCGTTTGCAGGTTTCTGACTTGCAGTCGACGGTTACCACCAAAGTGTTCTTTGATATTAGCATTGGGGGTCATGTTGGACGTATCGTGATAGGTCTCTATGGGGATGATGTGCCCCAGACGGCAGAGAACTTCCGTGCTTTATGTACAGGTAAATCACTTGTACCTTCTGTTCATAGTTCTTTCTACAATGGACCAAAATTTCCTTGCATTTTCTTATAGCATTATGTTTCCATCAGGCGAGAAGGGCTTTGGGTACAAGGGATCTGCATTTCATCGTGTCATCAAGGATTTCATGATTCAAGGGGGAGACTTCGATCAGGGAAATGTATGTGCTTCTGTACCTTCTACCATGACTTTTATGTGAAGTTCTCTTTTGACACATGATAGCTCTAGGATGTTATTGTTGTTTAGGCATTGACATTTCAGGAAAATGGTACTAGATTAGGTTTCTTTGATGCATTGATAAGACGGCTGTGCATAAATTTAATAATGGTAAGGTCCATAAGGGACAACTAGTAAATTTTGAATTTAATTATTCTAGTCTATAATTGCTATCTTGGTTCCATTGGTCAGATTCAACGATGAGGATCAAAACATTTGTCACTTGTAGAAGTAAAAATTAGCAAACAAGTCAGTTCAGATGTATGTTATTCAAGACCAGTTAAATGGGGTCCAATTTTATCTATTTTCATTTAGAAGTACAAAGTCTAAAAATATAGATGTTATTCAAATCTAATTTTCATTCAAAAATAAGTTAATTTAAAATATACAAGGTGAAGATTATCAGCTTTTAGGGTGTGGAGAGGACCTAAAGATATTTAGCCCAATCCTACAATGCATTTTTGCGGTCGAATAAGGGATTAAGAAGCTACATTCAGGTGCTGAAGAGGATCAAGAAGATAATTTTATTTGATCCTACATCAGCACTTCTCCGAATGGATATCTCAAGCAAACAAACATTTTATCTATTTCTTGATCTTAGATGATGTTCGACAAGATCTTTCAACGTTTGAAGGTAAAGTACTGACATAGTGTTGGTGATCTTCTTCTGTATGTTGATTCGGAAATCCTCATAAACATGTGAATGTTACTTTGATGAACATATAGAAGATTCTCCAAATAAAAATCCATTTGTTGGTACTCAGTCATGAAAAATTACTAGCTTAACGGTTACTGCAAGCCAACCATATGCTTAGATAATCATGGTAGTAGTCATGCTGATTGATGATGCGGTCATCTTAGTCGAGACACCAATTGGCCTGTATGTGGACTGTAAATATCAAGTTCATTCTGGGTATAGCTTTTTGTTGATTTACGGGTAGCTTGGGATGATTTCACTTGGCCTTTGGTCATGGATTAGGAGACTGGGGAGAACCAATTCATTGGCTTTCGTGTTCCCTCCATAAACTTTATTTTCTGAGGCCTTTTGATGGAAACTGGAACAATCTTTGGATTTGATTACCTAAACAGAGCTCACTGGAGGAGGAATATGCTCTAATCAATACTTTTATATCCTTTGTCAACGAGAACAAGCATAAAGTTACTATTTAGTGGATCGTCATTCTGTGGTTAGTTATCCTGGTTGCTTCATATTTGAAATTTTGATTCTTGAGAAGCTGAATAACATGATGATAGAAACCTCCCTTAACAATTAACAGTTCCTTGTATGACTTAATTGGTTTGCAGTATTTATTTTTATCACCTAGTTGCTTCCACGATGTGATTGTGATAAGAATCATCAGGAGACATGTGGTTGGAAAATGCATTTTGTAGTTGGGGAATTTGTACATTTTAAATTTGCTTCCTGGTGTTCATTTTCAGTTTCAAAGAACTTAGTTGGCGTTTTTATACGAATTCAGAGAAATCTTTGATGAAGATTGAAATCAGATAAATAATTTCACTGTATGTTTATATAAAAAAAGCCATATTATTTGTTTGATAAGGGAAAGCTTAACTAAACACGTGAAAAATCTTGTTTGTTTCTCATGGACTACTAAGTTTCCTTCACTTTAACATGCAAAAGAGAGATCGACAAGCGAAGTAAGTTGGAAACGAACAAAAGAATAGGGGTAGAGTTGCATTATAATCAGTCCTCTTGATGTGATAAGGAAGAAGAGGGAAGAAAGGGGGGAAGGATGGGGCGAAATGAATTTTGGCTAATTAATGAATGACAGTTGCTTATTTTCTTGTATGTTTTGACTAGTTCCTACTTGCTTGAATGATCATCTTAGATTGAATTTACAGTGGAGCTTTTTCTCTCTCTCTTTTTTTTGGAGATTTCTTATTATGCTTTATTCATTAAGAACATTAGAATTCAGCCTAGAATGAATTTATTATCAAACATTAGATGGGTTTCCTTGCTCTGTGTTCAACAGATTATCTCGTGTTGTGCTTAGTTGTTATTTGGGATCTGTCTTCCATCTTATGCATTTTGAGTTGATTTAGTTCCCTGGAAACTACAAGTTAGTGTAATCTGTTTGTTCAATTACATAGCTGCATAATTGATTTATTTTTCTTCCCATGTTGCTCTGGTATAAAGCTAAAGTCTCAAATTACCATGTCTGATCATTTTTTTTAATGATGTTTCTTATGCGTTTTATTCAATTGCACAAGTCATGCATGAATGGTTTTCAACAGTTTTAGTTGAAAATATAGTAGTGGTTATACCTAAAAAGTGACATCATCTTTTTTATTCTTAAAATTTGTTTATCGGACTTCAGGGAACTGGTGGCAAAAGCATATATGGCCGAACATTTAAGGATGAGAACTTCAAATGTAAGTTAAATTTATTCAACTGTTTGTACTCAAAGTTAACCAAAACAAAAAATTTTCTAATCTAAGAAAAACTTTTGTAGTGACTCATTTGGGACCTGGAATTGTGAGTATGGCAAATGCAGGACCTGACACCAATGGAAGCCAGTTCTTCATTTGCACTGTCAAGGTAACTCAGCTTAATCATTGAAACTGATTCCAGCATCTGGTTCTGGCCTTACGAAACTGTTGATGCATTTTATTTTATCATAGCAATCTAGTTTATAAGTTGAATTTAGTTTACAGTTAAGGTCTCAAATTGTGCACAAAGTTGTTGCTTTTTCAACAGGACATGATCCAACAGGACTTTAAAGTTTTAAAATCCTCCTCTATCTTCACATTCATCAAAGTCTAAAACGTTTCACTCTTTAAAAGACCATTTGGTCTATTGTTGATGATTCTTTTTTATTTGGTGAACAAATTCCAGCTTTATACCTATTTACACACTTTGCTAGGTAATATATTCATGATCTTCGTTTTCTTTTCCCCTTAATTTGATGTTTGTCACTGCTGCCATAACTGTTGTTGTTTGGGGTGGACAATTAGTCACCTCGTGAACCAACCAAACCCATCTGTCCATATATGTGGTCCTTCAACTATACAAGGGAAACACCATAGCAAAATTCATGGTTAGGTCATTGGATAGCTGTCGGGCGGTCTACTGAAAGAAAGTAAATATTGAGATTTTGATTATTATCTGCAGTTAATAAAGGTTTTCAGGCACTGATCTGGATAGTTAAGTTCAAAAATATCATCCACGCTAAAAAAAAAAGAGAAAAGATTATCTAAGTCAAAGCAATAATCTTTTCTGCTTTGTTCCTCCTACCTGTGCTTGTTCCATTAGAAGTGAGACAGCATATTTCTGATTCTAATGCAAATAAATCTGAGTATGACCTCTGTAATTACTGATTTCTGTGCAGACACCATGGTTGGACAAGCGGCACGTTGTGTTTGGTCAAGTTCTGGAGGGAATGGAAGTGGTAAGGCAAATCGAGTCACAGGAGACTGACCGTGGTGATCGCCCTAAAAAGAATGTCGTCATTAGTGACTGCGGCGAGCTTCCATCGGTCTGAGTGAAAGAATACCGTTTTATCATGCACTGGGCAGGATCATATCTGCTTTTCGTAGTTCTATTATTTTAGATCTTTTGAACTAGTATCTGGTAGATGACTCGTGTTTCGGGCTTTTATGAGCGCTAATTAATTGGATGGTCTTCAGCCCTATATTGTTGGAGCATCAAGGCAAATGAATGTGATGACTGTCGCATCTTTCTGAATTGTGGCAGAAGCTTCATCGAATAGATTTCGTTGCGAGGTATTCCATTTCTTTGTTTCTGTTAAGGGGAAGACTTTTTTGACTGCTCTTGTTGATTCTGTTACGAGTCTTCCATGAATGGATGCGTGGATATTGCCTCCATGTTGTTGGGCAGGACAGTCGGATGAGACCCATTTGGGAAGAGGGTAGGAGGTCGAGAGAGTAGAGAGGGAGGCCAAACCCAGTTTTGCCTGTGACTTTGGAAGTATACGAGGCAAAACAAACAGCGTCACATTGTGACACGTAGTCGCATGGATTTTTGGGAAGTGAGAAGTAGATACATGATGCATGCACCACATAGAAACATAGGAGATGCGTATATGATGACACAGTGATTGACTGAAGGAATTCGAGAGGAGTTTAGGAGTAGTCTGGAATTTGGAATGAAAGCATGTCTAGAGATTATTTTCTAACTATTGAGTAGCATAAAATATTCTTTCTAGATGCCATACTCACAAGGCATGATATATCCAATCGACACATTACCTTTGTAAACGCAAACTAAACTTCCTCAAAGTGATCAGCACTAAAGAAAGAAGAAAATAAACATGATAGGAATGTTCAGCCCAGCTGGATCAATGGCCTTCTCATCTATAAATCACAAGAAATCTCACACTAGAGGAAGAAACCCAACTACAACGCTTAAAGATTCTAACCAACCTATAAAACACAGTTCCCTTGTGCTGTCAAAATTGCAGATTACCAACATATTTTTCTCTCTCTCTCTAACACACACGCAGACATTCCTCACTATTCATGAGAATTCTCGCCAAATATTATTGCACTACTGTGAATCTCTAAATTATTTATTGGGAGGTTCTGCTCAAATGACAGCAAAAGCAATTTACGCATCTGAAGCAGTGTCTCCCCAACGGACGTTGTAATTCGCGGCAAGGTAGTGTGCTCCTGCTGGCCCGCAACTCCCGTAAGGGTACAATTCGGGGGCTATCTTCTTCTCCTCCAACTCTTTGAGCAGCGGCGTAAACAGCTCCCAAGCAGCATCCAGTTCATCGGAACGAATGAACAGCCTTCGTTCACCCTCAATGGCATCAAGAAGCAGCCTCTCATATGCATCTGGTATCTCTTTCGAGTATCTACCAAAAGCCAAAAGAGTTTCAGATGATGGGTAATGACACGGCTCTGAACTACCAACTTTATACAACAAGCAAGTAAATATGACATTATTCTTGATGATGATGATGACAGTTAATAACCATAACAATTGTGTCAGAGCATTTCTCTTAGCCCAGTCTACTATTAAGCATGTACTAGTCATCATAGAATCTCATGTGGAGCATGTAAGGGCCATGATCTGGAGCATTTTCACACTAGCTTATCAAGCATGGATGGATGTCATTGGTTTAAAAAGGATGATTTCGACCAAGGTTCCAACGTCACCGGAATAGCTATGACAATCTAGGGATTGTCATTTGTCATCAGATATTATGCATTCCAGGGATTGGCATAATCTTTCCTTATAAGAAAAACAAAAACTTGTACCTTGAAGCATAAAGAAGATTCAAGTTACTGCGGTCCAATCTCATCCCCAACCCAGGAATCTTGTTATTGATCTTTAAGTAAATAGCTTCATCGGGTTGTACCCTGATGACGAGCTCGTTTGTAGCTCGATCAAGATCAGTTCCAAAGCTCCTCTTATATAGATTACCAGGGACATGGCGAAACTGAACTCTAATCTCTGTTCTGCAAATGGAAATTTCCAACACAACATTAATTAAAGATGTTGAATTTCAATTGAAACTTACAAAAATCACAAAAGAAATGCATAAATACTCATTTACAACCTACCGTCGAGTTTCCAGTGCTTTCCCAGCCTTCATGAGGAATGGAACTCCATCCCATCTTGCATTATCTATGAAAAGGGCAGCTGCAGCGAATGTTGGAGTAAGGCTGCCTTTGGGTACAGTCTTATCGTCTGTGTATCCGGGGTATGCAACTCCACCCTTCGTGTGGCTCCTATACTGACCTATCACCACATTTTCCAATTGCAATGGCTTCATGGAACGGAGGACTTTCACCTGAAGTGAAGGAGAAATTTATCTAAGAGACAGAAACCAATAATATTGAGTTTCATCCAATAAAAGAACAATGCACGAGTTATGAGTCTGAATCCAATGGATCACATCTAGGACTATAACTTAATGGAAAAAAGGTCTCGTCATATTTCCTTGTACAAACCTTTTCGTTCCTGATATCTTCTGCATCTAAACTGACAGGAGTTTCCATTGCAAATAAGGCTAAAATTTGGAGCAGATGATTCTGCATGATATCTCTAATAATACCATAGTTATCAAAGTACCTGCACAGTACAAGACACAGGTTACTGGAAAGCTCATCAATAGATGACTAACTTCAATGGATAATAACATCATCTAAACCTTACCCTCCCCGTCCTTCTGTACCGAAGTCTTCAGAGAAAATCAGCTGCACATTCCTAATATATTGCCTAGACCACAACGGTTCAAATACAAGATTCGAGAAACGAAGAATGGACAGATTTTCGACAAGTTCCTTTCCCAAATAGTGGTCTATTCTGTAGAATGTTAAACAATCATTGTAAGGAAGATGTTTTCATGGGATATCGAACATGAATATCTTCATGTAGGATGTCATGTCACCTGAAAATTTGATCTTCATCAAGGTATTGTTTCAGGCCTCTTGTCAAAGCAGCAGAAGATTCAGAATCCCGACCGAATGGTTTTTCAACTATCACCCTGGTCCAGCCATTCTTAGAAGAAGCTGACTTGCTTGCAGATTTTACAACATCTATAAATATGTTTGGTGGAATTGACAAATAAAATAGCCGGTTTGATAATCTCCCACCCTGTAAGCCCAATTGAAAAATCCAGGTATTTACAGTTTAATAAATGTTTTCTTTAATTATGAAATATATTTTTTGCAGAGGAGAAGCTTAACCACATTATATATTTGACGATCCAAACATATTCAAGCTATGCTAATCGTCATCATCATGACCTTCATCAAAGCAACAATGTCATTTCTTATTCAAGGTTCACATAAATGTCTTGCAAGTTAAAAAAGGTTAACATAAAAGTCATTTCACATAGGTTAAAGACTTGATTCAAAATTATTTTGCACTAGCTGCACTTAAGTGAAAGAAGAGGATCTCAAATTCAACTAAAGTAAAAGAAGTCATTTGTCACATGAAATTGAAATATCATCAGGCTACCTGAAATATCATTTTAATAAAAAAATGTCAAATCCCGAGAGACTCTCGAGGTTTTTGTCTGTCAAAACAAAAAACTCAAGCTTCACCACCATATATGATCCCTAGTTAGAAGCCTCAGTTATATCACTAGCAAACTTAAGACAAAAAATGCTTCAGTTTTTTTGCAAATCAAAACAATTCCCCACGAACTAGCATCATCAGATTTCTTGTCCAAAGAACTAAAAATTTTGAGTTCCTATAATTTTACATAATTATCTGGCATGAGACTCAAAGATTTACGTAGCTTTCAAAGGTGACAAAGCTTGGAAGACAAGCAAAAGTCCGCAGAACACTTCTGTGACATAGCTGCCATGTTTTTTTTTTCTTTTCCTTTTGTGTCTTCTTTTCTGTGTCTTTGTCCTTTTATTATTATTTTTTGTTCTTTTCCTAACTTCTTGACTTTGCATCTCTTCTTATCCTTCAGTCTGTTTGAGGAATCTTCCCATTTTCCCTCAAAGATGAAAAAAAAAAAAAAAGATCACAGAGAAGCACCATTGAACTACAACATAACAATAATTACATTATGTAAAACAAGACATGATTATTGTTGGAAAAGGAGGCTGGAGCTCCCAATTTTGAGCTTGTAAAGTTGTAAAGACTTCCTCATCTCATAGATACAAATATTACCTCATGTTCTTTGAGTTCCTTGTCAAGATCTGCAAAGTTTTCCTCGGATTCATATTGACCTGAATGATAGAAACATCTCTGTAGAAACTGTTCCATCTTCTCATTACAATTCTCCCTGGGAAAAATCAGCAGAAACATTTAGCATCAGCAGAGATCAAAATAAATGGTCCTCAAATCAATTATCTTGAAGGAAACAAAAGCAGAACTGTATGACAAAAAAAACTAGCATAACCTAATTCAGTATTAATACAAAAAACCATTAATCACCTTTTATCAATTCTGCACGTTAATGTTTTGCTAACCATAGTTCTCAGTTCAGCATCAGTCATCTTACTTCGAGCATAACCGAATATAGTGAAATGCTGCATTGAGAACATAATTACACACCTTAACACGAGAGTAATCTATAAAGGAATGACTTGCACTACAATTATACGAACCGGACCTTTGGAAGGCAATCTTCATAATAAAGTGCGAAAAGAGCAGGAAATATCTTCTTTTTGGCAAGGTCCCCAGAGGCTCCAACGACAGTGATACTAACTGTAGGCTCCCTTTCACTTGAATTGGGACCAATCACATCTCTGTATTCCTCTGAAGATAAACCAAGCAAGCCACCAATTTCCACATTCTTGGAAGGAGCTTCTTTTGGACTGGATGCAGCCACAGTGCCAACTGCCGTGCAATAAGGAGAACGAACCAGGGGAAAAGGTCAACACCAGAGGCATGAAATCAAGAACCAAAGATCGACAGTAGATGCATCAACAACCAAAATTCACTAAAGAAGATTCGAAAAAAACAAATCAGCCATCCCAAATATAAGTCAAGCGAGGCGGATCGAACGAGGTGAGGGTCAGAGCAAAGAAAAGGGACCGGACCTTCTTGCTTGCAGGCAACGCCCAAGTTCCAATTTTTCGACGACGGTACCGCGACACTTCCCGCAAGAACGGTTCTAGGAAAGGGCCGTAGGAGGGTCGACCATCTCGGAGGGGAGTGATCGGGTGCCAGACGCGCGGCGGCGGAGGAAGAGGGGCATTTGGCGACGGAAAGTGCCATCTCTCCTCCTCCGGCAAAGAGAGACAGAGCAAGAGAGAGAGATGAATCGAGGGTTTTCCTCGGAAGAGAGACAGCAGACGAGAGAGGATGTGGCATTTGAAGGGCGGGGGACGGCATCGGAAGCAGCGGAGAGGGTGGGTTCGTCTCGGTGGGGCCCAGATCCTCTCCATTACTTTTCCAGACGCACTCCAGTTCCGATCGGACCGTCCATATTCAAAACCGGTGTCATCATCATCGGGTCCCATGTAAACCAACGGTCCTGATCTATCTACTGGTTCGCCGATTAGGCCCGAATCACCGAAGGCGACACCCCCCACCCTTGGAAGCATCGAAGGGTTGTTTTCTCGGAAGAAGCCATCCATCACAGAGGACAAACTTGGAGAGCGGCAAGGGGCAGGTATTGTTTTGGGTTGACGGAGCGAGTGTCTGCAGCTTTCCTTGGGATTAAATTAGGGTTAGGGTTTCCTAACTTAATCGTCCAATTGCTCGATCGAACGATCAATTTGGTCGGTGTTTTAGGGTTATGCTGTCCAAAGGAGAAGACGTTATTATTAGCATCGACAATTTATCCGAATTATTATATTATTGTATCATCACATGATGATAATAAAAGGGAAGAAAACTAAATGGACACGCATTTGTGCTCTTGACTTGCTTACACGCCTCCCTCGCCTCAAAATCACGTCTCCTAATGGGCGGGCCCACATGACTCAATCAATGCGTCCAATGGGCTCGGGCTCGGGCTCGACGTTGGAGACTAAATCTAACTCCGATCGGATTCATTGATCGATACTATCAACATTCAAATTGAGATACTGTATAACAGTGATTGATATCTACGGGTAGAAACCGCACACAAGAAGAAAGTAGCTCAGTTCAGCTTCGATCGGATTAGGGATTCTTTTGTTGAACTCAGTTGGAAGCATGAGAACACTGTGTTTTCCTCTCTCTCTCTCTCTCTCTATTCTTTTGTTGAACTCAGTTGGAAGCATGAGAACACTGTGTTTTCCTCTGTCTCTCTCTCTCTATTCTTTTGTTGAACTCAGTTGGAAGCATGAGAACACTGTGTTTTCCTCTGTGTTGGAAGCATGAGAACACTCTCTCTCTCTCTCTCTCTCTCTCTCTCTCTCTACCACTGTTCACTGACAACGCATGAGCGTATTGGCTACGAGCCTCCTCTGCATGGTAACCTTGGCAATCAAGTCCTCGACTCTTCGGTTGAGCTCCTCTGTAGGCATACCTTCTTCCTCCTCCTCCTCTTTGTCACGGTGGCTTCCTTCTCCTTCACTCCAGCTGCGGGACTTGGCTTCGCATCATGTGGTCGTCGTAAATGTCGGGCTGTGCAGAAGACTCGAAGAGCCTCGACTCCCCGACGAGGAAGATGATGATGACGTTGGAGACGACGAATATGAACTTGAGACTAGGGTGCCCATGTGTGGAAGACAGACGAAGAAGAAGAACCTGAGAGAGGAGAAAATGGTGGGGAGCCAGTGGGGACTCGACATGAACAGACCAACCAGCACAACACGTAGCATCGGCATGCAGTGGTTCCTGCTACATCTGCCCATATAACTCTATCCATGGCTGCAAGAAAGAAGGAAGAAGATGAACTGGATATAGGGCAATGCAAGACCAAGGTTATAAAGGAAAGGGAAGGGGAGGTAAATTCCAATGGTGGGATTCTCACATCCCAGCATCTCCTGCTCATATTATTAGATCTCTTCAGAGAAGCCATGGATTGGTGTCTGCTTGGAGCCCCACTCATTCTCCTGTTCTAAGAAATGGAACAGCTTAAAGCATGAACAGCCTCCAAAATGGCCTTCAGAGTCATCATGGCTACATGGTATAAGAATGGAAGCTTTGAAGTATATGTCAACTCAAACCTTCTTTTCCTTGCGAAAAAGATGGGGGAAATGCAGAGTTCTGATAGAGACACACAAAGCTTTTGGTTTGGGTTGTTCATAGCCTTTGCATGTCCGAAGCTACAGCTGCCGCGTGTGTGGATCACAAGAGAGAGAGAGAGAGAGAGCTTAAGAGTGTATCAATCAATTGATTTAATCTCGCTCTCATAATTACTTGATCTGAATATAGTTCATGAAGAAGGTAGCCTCATCTCCTATCCAATTTACTTTGACGCAATTGCACCATTTAATATGTCGATTGACCTACTCAATCATAAAATTAAGTGCAAATATAATCAAGATCGAAGACGTTCGATCCATCTTCAAATATCCATAGTTTCAACATAATATCTCTCATCCATCTTCGGGTCGGGGTATTAAAAATGGTATCTAGAAATTTCTCACAAATGCATGAAGAGGAACTCAGTGACAGCATTTGGTGGTGAATTTCCAGTCTTTGATTGATTTCTAGTTGTTGTCAGTGAGTCGAGTAGAACAAAGATTAATAAACATGACAATACTCTTTAACTAAATATTCAATTTGGAGAGAGAGAAAACAAGATTGTATTTGATTGGAATGCATTCGAAGCTGGTCACTCAAGACATACAACATTACATGGTGACACCATGAGTTGCCTGGAACACTTTGTTATAATACCCAGAAGAGCATGGGTTCACACCAACATCCATTTCCTTCTAAATCAGGCCGCATACTTTTTTCGATGTGAGAAAACTTATTCATCACAGTTCAATACTGGTGGAATAACCAATCACATTGTCCAATCTGATGCTAAGAACACTAGAGTAGCAAAAGCCACATCGTTCATCGTGGCCACAGTTCAATACTGTGTTTCTTTGACTAAATGGTTCATCTCAGCATATAGAGAGATTCTCCGCATGAGACTTACATCGTGTTCGCTCTTTTATCACTTCCATGAAATCATAGGTGGTGCTCACAAAACTAAGCAAGAAGCCAAAACATTGCACTCAGGTTATGATAGCATTATCCCTTGGCTTCTGATTGAGAGGTTTGCTTCCTGTTATGATGTATCGACCGAGGGACAAAAGCAAAGCCACGAGCATTACGATGACCAAAGCTTATGCTCGAAGGAGAAGAATCCGACGTGCTCAGCTTTGATACAGCAGAAACAAGATCATCCATCCTCTCCTCAACTTCCATTTCTGTTTCCTTCCCCTCCTTGAGACTAGCCTTTTTTGGTCTATACTTCTGGTAAATTTGCTTCGAACTTTTCCTATCAACATCCATATCAGTATTGTTCGATGCCTCCTTTGGATAGCTAGCTTGCCTTCGTAGATGTTTTTGGCGTTGGTGCTTGGAAGGATGTGCCCTTTTGTAGAATTCAAATGTGGTAGGAAACTTGTGTTTGTCAACAAGGTGCTGCTGTCGACTCTTATAACTCTTCAACTTGACTCCACAGCCTTCGACCAAACATTCATACTGATTCATACATGATACTTTTACTTCAAAAAATCATACAAATGAGAAACATAATTATTTACATATCAATCATAATATTTTATGATCCATAAGTCTTAAGTTCGAGAAATATAACTGCAGTTAGTAGCTTCAAAATGACTAAGCAATAACAAGAAGGTATAAATGAAAACCATAAACTTGCAAGTTATTTTTCTGATGAGATAGCATTAGGTCCTTCAGGAAGGAGAACGAAAGCTACCAAATAGGACACATTGCATGTTGCAGCAAAATACCAATGTGACAATATCAGAAACCAAAAGAAGTCTTCCCCCCTCAGGGCCAACAGGACAAGGCATCACAACTTGCTCGACAGGAGAAAGGAATCTCCTGTTCCTGATGATTGAAAATTCATATATGTGATGTCTTTACTGACATTCAACTAACCTCAACTTACTATCAGGTGATTGAGAAAACTCCCATTGGATATAAGAAAGGCAACTTCTGTTCTACTCTTTCCAATAAACCAGAATAGCATAGCACATTTATTTATAAACCGCAGCGCACAACATCAAGCCAAAACCGGTCTATAAACGAAATCCTGTCTTGTTGCCACTTTCCCCTTCTTTTAGATAATTCAACTATTTTTGGTATTGTTTCTAACAGCTATTTTAGAAGTTGAATTAGACTGTTAATGAGTCTATTCTGAGTGATGATTTCTGTCTAACAAATGGAAAATCCATATAGGTTCGATTCAAATTGATTTAGGCCCCCTTCCTGCTAAATTCTTCTTAGTACTTGTGCTCTTTAGGTGCAATGCATCGAAAACAATGTTTCCTATTCAAAGATAATTATATTAACTACAACACAAGGAAGCTAAAGGCAGGATTAGATAGACAAATAGGTAAAGTTTCAGGGTTGTTAAGTCTGTTTTTGGGGTACACATTGTTAATATCAGACTATAGGGACCTCAGCTTTAAGAAAAAAGTATGTTTATATTCAAAACTGAAAAATAGTCCTCTTATCTCAACTATTTTTCTACAGCAAAAATGTTTTTCCCTTCCCCTCCCTGATTTGCTCTGTCCCTTATCTAATAGCAAACATATTACTCTTTGCTATTTCAAGGGAACCTCAGGTTCAGTTGTCAACTGTAAGCTAACGATAACTTGTGATCAAATCATGCAATTATCAGTAAGCATTTACACTTTTCCAACCATCTAGTCAAAGAACCTTTATAGAGTTCTTAACAACCATCACAAGTAACCCAACAGAGTAAAGCATTCATCCCATTCACATACTTCACTTAAATTAGATTGGCAAGGGTCAAACTTTGCTAAGAAGCAAGAACCTGATTATGAGAGCTTCTCAGATTAAGAATGCACAATTCAACTATTAAATAACTTGAAATTAAGTAAAAAATTTAACATAATTAGTCCCTCTTCATTTTTAAATTTTGAACTTTCATTTTAAGAGCAATGCTTAGGTTTTCAAATTCTGAAATTAGATCCTGTGAGCTCACTGTTCTTCCTTTTTTTGTCAACAATGTTTTCGTTATGGTCTTGTTGTTGTGTAAGAACTATTTACAAAATCTATTCTTTCCTAGAAAAGCAGTGCACTATTTACAAAATCTATTCTTTCTTTTCTTCCAGTGCTACACATGACGGTAGGAACTTTTTGCTGTACTAAAGATAACAGAAAGGGAAATACCATCAGAAAACCGCGTGCAACTTTGGCCTGAAAGAA